CCCTGCCTCACGGCCCGAGGCACCTCCCGGGCGGCAGGCTCGCCCCCTTCCGCCCCCGCGGCCCCGCCGGCACCGGGCCCTGCTCCCGCCTAAGCGCCCTCCCCACGCCCTGCCTGTCCGGCGGGGCCGGTCCCGGGAGGGTGCACGTTGCCCGGGGCCGGGGGAAGCCGAGGGCGACCGGGAGCGAGTCTTGGGGGGCCACGGCGCCGGGCTGGGTGTGGGCAGGGCCGCCCCGGGGCGGCCGAGGCTGCGGCAGGAGCCTCCCCGGCGCCCGGGACCGTCCCCGGCACCACCGAAAATATCGGTAACTGTGTTTTCCGGAAGCCGGTTCCTGAGCACACGCCGTGGGTCCCGGGGGGTGACACCCCGCTCTCCGCCACGGGCCCCGTCCCGTGCCCCCGGAGTGTAATTCCTTCTGAAGAACGTTCCCGTGCCGTGTCCCCGGTGCTGCCGGTGTAACGGGTGCCCTCGCAGGTGCTCGGCCCGGCTTCTCCAGAGCCCCAAATTCCACACCCCAAATTGCTGACCCTGAGTCGCCTCTCCCCGGGATAACACCCTGTGATTCGGGATCGGCCCCTCTCGCGTCCTCCTGCCCCCTCCCTGCCTGCTCCTGGGAAGGCATTTCCCCAGGATCTGCCGGCTTTCGCCCCGGCACGGCTCTGAGGGTGCCGTGAATCTTCCTCAGGAATATGGTTTAGTGATTTTTCATTGCTTGTTTCTTATTTATTTTTTTGTCGGAGTTAGGTTGGTGGTTGGACTAGATGATCTTTAAGGTCCCTTCCAACCTGGACGAGTCTATGATTCTGCGGTGGGCGCTGGGGGAGCGGGCTGCCCTGCACCGGGCACCCCTGATTTCGGGGGGGTGTGAAGTACAACGAGAGCTTTGTCTAGATCCGAATGAGGAGAGTTGGTCTGGGAGCGTCTCAGTTGGTTTAATCGAGTTATCACCGTGGCTGCCTGCAGCCGGGGCGGCGGCTGCTCGTCAGCAGCACGCTCCGTTCCTCCCGGTTCCCGAGGTGCAGCCCTGAGCCCTGACTGGGGAGGGAGAAGGTGGTGACTGGGTGGAGCTGACGGGCTCCAGCAGGAGACCTTGAACTCCAGTTCCAGAGGCCCGTTTGGGGCCGTTCCCAGCGATCGCTGGGCCCGTGGTTTCCGTCCCGCAGCGCAGGGGTGAGTGGCGGGAGTCGCTCCTCGCTGGCTGCGGGGCACGGGGCGAGACACGGCTGCGCCGGACGAGACGTTGTTCTTCCCCGCTTTGTCCATAAAATGGGGCTAATCCCGTGTAAAGCAGCGAGGGCAGGGGAAGGAGGGTGGGAGCGGTGTAAGCCGGGCCGGGAGATAAGCGCTGAGTGGAGCCAGCCTCCGAGCTGTTGTCTGCAATAAAATGTTTGTCCATTTACCCCATCTTATTCTCCTTAAAATCCCCGTGCACCCTACCGTGGAGCAACGAGGTGTAGGCCTTGTTGCCTGAAGCCAGGAGGATGGCCGGGGAAGCCTGACTCCAGCCAGGTTTCCAAATTTTCCTGTGGAGCAGAAGTGCCCGATGCTCGCTGCTGTGTCCTCCTGCACGAGCAGCGGGGCAGCGTCACCAGGTCGTCCCTCTGAGGCAGGGGCTCCTGCTGACCTTGGGTGCTGAGCGCGGTCAGGCCTGAGCTCTGTGTTACCGTGGTGGGGGTGATAAGAAATGGTCTGCTGTGGGGAGACCCTGCAGCTTCGTGGTGCTGGGGGGGCCTCGTGCTTGCCGCTCTCCATGTCATCCAGCTGACGTGGGCGGCTTTGCCTTTTGGTGTGTGCTCTGCCCCCCAGTCGATGTCCTGTCCAGCTTTCCAGCCTGCCTGGGCTGGAAAAATCCTCCTTTGGCTTCTGGCTGGCTGGGCCCTGCGGCGACAGGGACCCCCCTGCAGCAGAGGGTGCTGGCTGGAGCCTGCTCCCCGTCCCGAGGGTACCTCTCCCCGAGGGAGGATAACGAGGGGGTGGTGGAGACAAGTGATGTTCTCGTGTTGGTGGCCTGCAGCGTGAGGTGTTTGGCCCTGGCCAGCTCTGTTGCTGGCCAGCAGCTTTCAGAACGCTTGTGCTCTCTCTGCTAATTTTTAGACCCCTAAGTCTCAGCAGAAGGTCATGGCTGATTGTGCAGCATCAGAATTAGTGGAGGGAGAAAAGGGGGGTCCTTGGTCTCAGTCTGGCCTTGCTGGGGCTCAGCGGTGAGAGGCCGGTGAGGACACCGCGTGCTTGGGAACGGGCTTCTCCCTGGCTGCCGAACAGAGCGGGAACAGGTAAAGCACATCCCCTCTGCCAGCGACCCGGGATCTGCCCTGCCCGGGCGTTGTCTCCCGTGGAAGGAATTGTGTGGCTGTTTGTCCCTGCCATGGGAACGGGGCTGGCTCAGGCGGGCAGGTGGGTCACCAGGGGTGGCAGGGAGGTGACACACGCTTGGGAACCGGGAACTGAGAGTGAACTCTCCTCCCCGGGCAGCGGTGAAAGGCGGCGAGTTTAAGGGAAGCTCGTAACGTCCATGTGCATGTTTCCTCCTTCCAGGGGCAGGAGCGTGCAGAGGAGCTGTGGTGGTTATCGACAGCCGTTGAAATAAGGAAGGGAACGTTGAGAGCTGGTTAGACATGTTTTCCCCAGCCCAGCAAAGGTGGGGAGAGCCCGGTGAGGCGTGTTCTCCTGTCCTGGCTGGTGCCTCAGAAAGATTGAACCACAAAGCACCTAGCTCTCAGGGCTACGCCTGGGTCGGTGGCTGGAGGAGAGGGCTTGTAGCAGAGCTATAGAGCAGGGTGGGAGGCACGGTGGGAAGGGAGGGAGCAGTGAGAAGCAGGTGCTGGAAGAAGAGAAAATTAGAGTGAGATGTTACAGGGACTTCACCGGAAAAAAGGAGACTCAGGCTGAAAGAAATGGAAGGTGGTGGGGGTCACACTTGAAAATGCCCTGAGGGACAGAATTAAAAATCGAAGGAAGTCCCCAGAAATGGAGATGAGGGGAAGTAGAAGCAGCCCCTCTTATGGGTGGAGGGAAGGCTGGGGAAGAGTGCTCTGGAGGGGGCTGAGCAGTGCGGAGCCAGGAAAGCGCTGTGAAAAGGGGGTGCTAGGATTGGAAAACCAGGTGGAATAACCAAGGGAGAGGGAAAGGGGAGTCAGCGGTGACACAAGGCTCAGCACAGTTTGATTGGGGGAGGAAGGAGCAGGGCTGAGCTGAGGGCAGGTCAGGAGGAGCTGGAAGGGAGGAGCTGCTGGGCTGGAAGTGGCAGAGGGAGAGGAATCGGAGGCAGGAGCGGAGCCTGTCTGCGCCTCAGGTAAGTGAGGGGAGCTGGGACTCTTCCAAGCAGGGAGGTCTTGAGTGGCCTTTGTGGATGGGGACAAAGTGGCCAGAGAGACAAAGGGTTTGGGAAGAAGGTGGAGGGAAAGGAGGGGTTGGTAGAGTGGAGGTAGACAGGTTGCAGGACTGCAGAAGGGGAAGGCGAGGGAAGAAAGCATGTACTTGGGGGAATTGGTGTTAATGTGGCCTGAATTATAATCTGTGGGAAGTCAGAACTTGTGTCTCTGCTGGACAGTGGGGGTAAGTGACCAGGACAGTCAGGGTGAGGTAAGCCAGCAGTTTAGCCCAAAGAAAAGAGGAAAAAGATACCCTGACGACTGCACAGCAGAGGTGCCAGCCCACTGTGCTGCACCCTCCCTGGCTTCAGCATCCTGGGTGTTCCCAGCCGCGGGAGAGGGGACCACTGGCCTCGGCTCACAGGGCAGCGTGAGCTGGGGGCTGCGAAGGGCTCGGCATGTCGTGGGGTTCAGAAGGGACCCTCTGAGCTGCGAGGTGGCTCTGGCATTCGGGTGGGGTGGGCTCGGTGGCTCTTTGGAGGTTTGATGAGTTGTGGGGTTATTCCCAAGCGAAGGCGGCGGGGAGCCGGGGCTTATATTTGCCTGGTATCTCGCTTGGGTGTCGCTAATGACAGTGCTTGGGATTTCTCCCCCACACGCAGCGCTCGCTCAGGTGGCATGTCCCACGAGCAATTATCTCAGCTCGTGCGTTCTTTCGTTGACGAGGAGCTGGTTCCTGCGCTGCCAGGTGCTTGTGTCTGCGCTGAGCCGGGCTGGCACACGGACCTCGGCAGGGGCATGGTGTGCCACGAGGGGCTGGAGCGCTTGTCCCCATCTTCAGGTGGAACATCAGAGGCAGGACCTGCTCGGGGAGGTTGCCTGGACTTGGGGGGCAAACTCTGGGGGAAGCAGCAGGGAGGAGAGGGGTGGAGGAGGTCTCTGGAGGGGGAATGTGACAAGGAAAAGCTCCTCCGATGTGGCAGTGTCTGTTCGAGGTGTGGCTTTGTTTTCATGGCGGAGCCTTTCAAAGGGCTGGGGTGTTCTGTTACAGCAGATGAGCGTGTTAGCAGATTGCTTCTGCTAAAGTAATTAGCAGTGATGTCATCTTTAAACTTCCGAGTAACCCATCCCCAGAATTGCTGTCCGGCCGTTCCGTTCCGCGGCAGGGCCTGGCTCAGGCGGGCCCTTCCCTCCCTGGCGACAGCACAGCTCTGCGGGGTGTTGGGATTTTCCCCAAATCGCAAGTCCTGGGGCTTGTTCTCACCTCCCTCAAAGCTCAGAGCTGTGTCTGGAGTTGAGGAGGGGTAGAGGAGGCCGGGAGCTGCTCCCAGGTGAGACCAGAGCCTTCCCCAGCATCAGTTCAGCGTTTCCTCTCGGTCACAAGGGCAAAAAAAGCTTGGTTTGAGAAAGTGAGCTTCGTTCCTGCAAAGGAAGAGCTGCTCTGCGGCGGGAGCAGTGTCTTCATTAGTCAGCCAAAGTGACTGACGCCTTGTTTTGTGACTGAACCCATTTAATTGTAATATATTCTTGTCATTATATGTACCTTTAATTTTGTGCCGCGGTTCTCTCAGCCTTGGTGAGTGTTTAGTCAGCAGTAGGTATTTTTCTGTCCACTCCAAAGAAAAAATTACCTTGGGAGGCAGAAGGGGAGAAAAGTGGAAGGAGAAAGCGGAGGAGTCGTCGGGGTGACGGCGCAGGGAGGCAGTGGAGCGGGGGACAGGTGACAGAGGCTGTTGTGGCAGTGACAGTGGGTGCGACACCATCAGTGTCCAGCTTCTCCTGGGGCTGTGACAGGCTCTGGGGCATTCGGAGCTTGGGGCAGGTTGGTGTCTCCTGCTTCCATTTCTGGAAAGGTTTGTTTTTTCATATTTTCTGTGACGCTCCATCCTGTGTCCCCATGACCAGCCAAGGGTTCCCGAGGGCACCCTAAAACAGTCGGGGCTCCCCAGTGAGAACCCAGCACTCCTCCCTCCAGAGCTATGACTGGGACTCCCTCTGGTCCAGGGAGTGGTGTTTTCCACAGTCTCTCCGGCCCTCCAGGGGAAGGGGACAAGATTCCTGGTTGTCTTTCCCTACTCGGTTAAGTCCCCACGCCCCTCGACGGCCCCTTTGTTCAGGGAGTGGGCATTCTCCGGCCCTCGGGCTGCAGTTGCAGAAAGGCTTTGGGCCATGAGTTGTGGGGTCCCTCATCTTACTGGGGTCTCAGCGTGTGTTTCTCAGGTGGGTTGGGTGCCTCAGCTTTCTCTGCAGCAAACACCGCAGGACCTTGGGGTGGGACGGGAGAGGACAGAGCTGTGGCCAGGCCCCCGTGGCTAATGACAGGCTCTGCGGGGTGGCCATTGCTCCCGTTTTGCTGATGTGGGGTGACAGGCCTGGGGTGACAGTGTTGGTCTGTGTCAGAGCTGGGCTGGGGGAGCGGCATCGTGCTGAGTGGGACTTGCCAACGGGGTTTTAAATCCACCAGGCGCCGGTTCCATCTTCCCCCGAACGCCTGCTCCGAGTCCTGGGGACCCCGGTGTTACTGCAGTGAGCAGTTTTACCTGACTCTGTCTCTTCTCTTGCTTTGTTAATTTCTACATTTTTTTTTTCCCCCTAGGTGAGCTGTGTTGTACCAGATGTCAAGTTTTAATGATTTTATGTAGTTCTTTTAAAAGACGAGTGGATTAATGAAGAAGAATTTTACTGAAGGCAGGGGAGGAAAAAATGGAGCCATTTGGAACAAACTGAGATCTTCCCCGGCATTGCTTGGGCCATGGATGAGACAGACCTGTTCAGCACTGTGTCCACCATCGGTTGTCTTCTGGGGCTGTGAAAGCACTCCCTGAAAGATCTCTCCATTAACTGACCCTGCGCTGTTTGGAAATGTTTGCTGCAGAAAAGATTTAATGAAATTCCTGTCGGTTCCCCACCACCGAGTGGACGCTGAGCCTGTGGAAAGGCTTGGGGGGTCAGGAGAAAGGAGCAAGTAGGAAGAGGACAAAACCACACAATCTGCTGGACCTTCCCCTCCCACCCCCCTCGCAAAGAAAGGATTTACAGCTCAACCTTGCACCAGCTGTTCCTCGGCTTTAACAGTCAAGAGAGAAATAAATAAAATTAAACAGCCACCGCCAGCCAGCCCCAGATCCCGGTGAAATCAGGGAGAGTGTTTCTGTGACCCCCAGTGAGGAGGAGGAGGAGGAGGAGGCGGCACAGCAGTGCTGGGAGGAAGCTGGGCAGATTGCTTGTGAGACACTCCCCCCCCGCAGTGGCTGGAGGGGGCTGCAGCACATCAGAAGGCAGATTAAAAAAGGAGAAGTGGCTGCCTTGAGGCTCCCGGAGTGGCTCTTTTTGCAAGAAGTTTACTGATATCTCACTCTTTCCCAGGGTGCTCGCTGGGTGGGAAGGTGCCCACCCAGCTCCTCCCCTCACCCCAGCTGGAGGGTTTCCCTGCCCGTGGAGCCCGGTGCCAGCCACGAGGACCTGCTTTTTGCAGGCTGTTGTCGCCTGACTGAGGGAAGCTCATAAGGGCTCTCGGTTATTTTAAGTCCAAATCCAGTTCTTGGTTCTGATTTTTTAATGTTTTTAAACCCCCTTCCCTGCACCCACGAGCTCTCACAGGGCAGAGCGTAGCGTGGACTCCTCTCCTGGGCCACCAAAGACCTCTGTGGACTTCTCTGGACTGTCTGCCCTGCTCGGAGTGCGGAGGCCGGGTAGTGGTTTGCCCCCGTCCCCCTCCCCTGCCCTTCTCGCCTGGCTCCGACCCCGCTGGGCCTGGGCTATGCTGCGGGGCGGACCACCCACCACAGCTCCAACATGCCAGCAGCATCTGGAAAGAGGTTCAAACCCAGCAAGTACGTCCCGGTCTCAGCTGCTGCCATCTTCCTAGTGGGAGCCACCACCCTCTTCTTTGCCTTCACGTGAGTCCTAGTGAAGTGACCCAGCCAAAGAGTGGGGAGGGCGAGGGGGGACCCGGCTCTTCCCTGTTGTGCCCTCTGGTTGGGGGCAGAGACCGCCTGGGGGTTGCCTGGTGGAGGAGCTGTGACTCCTGGCCGGACTGAAGGGGGGATATTGTGCTGTGGGTGCTAAGGAATGGCCAGCGGAGTGGCCCTGCCCTCCGTGGGAGCGCTCCAGCCTCAGCTGGATCCGTTTCCCTCGGGTTTCCCAAGGGCTGAGCCAGAGGAAGCCGGGCACGGATCCCGGCGAGGCTCCTGGCCACCGCTGGCTCCGGTGCCTGCAGCCGCCCCTCTGCCCTCCCCGGGTGTTTGCACAACTCGCAGATCGGACGGGCTGGGAATGGGTTTGTGACCTCTAGGTGGGAAATGGCAGAGACGATTCTCTCCTGTGGAGGGGAGCGGTTTGGGGGCTGGGGCAGGCTCCCTCCGCGTTATTTTTAGGGTCTTGTAACTGGTTTGTGAGCCACAAAGGAAAGTTCAAGGAGAAGTACCCTGACTCCTGCACGGATCTCTCACTGCTGTTGAGGTCAGCCTTTCCCCGAGGAAGTGAGGGTTCAGCATCTCTGGAGAGGACCCGAAGGAGGTGTCCGGCTGGCGGGAGGGGAAGAGCTGGGGTGTAAAAGGGTGCCAGTTGCTGGAGAGACCAGATGGTACCGCAGGGATCTCCCTGGGCTGGGAGAGGGGCAGGGATGCTGCTCACATTAACATTTTCCCTTCCCAGGTGACAAAGAGCTTATTAATGCTTGCTGGGGGCTGAGCTGAGCCAGTTTTGGGTGGTGGCAGGGGGGAGGCAGGACGTGGGGGTGCTGAGGAGGCTCCCGGGCTGTCGCTGAGCCCCTCAGGGACCACCACTCAGGTGGCCACAGCCAGGCAGGAATGCTGGCCCAGGGCAGCTGGGACTGGCTACCAAGTCCCATGGAGCGCTCCTGGGGTCGGGGTGTGAGAGGGGACGCATTTTGGGGGAACAGCAGAGAGATCTGTAGGTAAGACGGGTGCTCACACCTGTGAGGGGTTGATGGTGGCTCCATGCAAAGGGTTTGAGTCTGGAGCCCCTGCTCCTGGGATTCTCCCCCACCCCCCGGGGTGGCTCGCTCTGAGGGGGCACCATCACTGCACTTTTGCGGGGCAAAAAGCATCATTAAACCGAGGGACATAAGTTAGTGACAGCTTTTGTCAGTGTTGGGTTGGTGGTTGGACTCGATGATCTGAAAGGTCCCTTCCAATCTAGACACATCTATGATTCTACGACTAATTGCGCCCTGGCCAAAGATTTCCCCACCCCAAGGGGTTTTACTGCCAGGGCTGGCGTTAGCCCGGGCTGGTATTAGCCGGGGCTGAGGATTTTACTGCCAGGGCTGGCGTTAGCCAGGGCTGAGGGGTTTTCCTGCTGGGGCTGGGGGGAGGCAGCTCCTCCTGGGAGGCAGAAGGGCCGGACACGATGGCTGCTGCCGCTCCCCGGGACGGAGCCATCGCTGGCTGGAAGGTCACCGTGGCTTTGACGCCTGGCAACAACCAGGCAATAAAAGAGTAATTTGAGGACCAAAGGACAGAGCAGGCTTGATTTATTCCTTCCAGCTGGTGGTGTCGCTCAGCAGCTCCCCGTGCCGAGACACAGCGTTTGTGGGGCCGGCGTCGCTGGCAGCTCCCAGGATGGAGGTTTGGCCGCTTCGGGCTGCCAGGCACTCATGGGAAGTCGCTGGCTTCAGATGAGATGTGGGGAAGAACTTGTTTGGTGTGAGGGTGGTGAGAGCCTGGCCCAGGTTGCCCTGAGAAGCTGTGGCTGCCCCATCCCTGGAGGGGTTCAAGGGCAGGTTGGAGGGGGCTTGGAGCAACCTGGTGTGGTGGGAGGTGTCCCTGCCCAGGGCAGGGGGTGGCACTGGGGGGGCTTTAAGGTCCCTTCCAACCCAAACCATTCCATGGTTCTATGACTGTGCTACCCCTTCAGGGGGATGAAGGAGAAGAGGAGGGAGCGGGCAGTGTCCCCTGAGTGGCTGTGCCTGACACACCGTGACCTTGGGGGCTGCACTTTGCTGGGGGGGGGGGAATAGCCCCCCACCCTGAGCCCTGTCCTTGCTGCTGTGTCCCAGCCAGCGGCTCCCGGGCAGAGCCGTCGCCGCAGCCGATAGCAGCCGCCGGGTGCCAGGCAGCGCCGGGAGCGGCACCGGGGCCACGGAGCAGGTTTGTTCACCACAGGAACACCTGGGCAGGGTCGCTTTAATTGTAGGTCAGTGGATGTTGTTTAACCTACTTTAAAACATCAAATTAACTCTCCAGCAGAGCAGGGGAGCACAGAGCACTTTCACACAGGGAGGGAATTGCGTGCTGGCTGCTGGGGAGGGTTACGCTGTCACCATCGGTCCCCAAGCTTGTGCTTTGGGAAGTGGAAGCTGTGAGGTGGGGGGGCCCTGGGACAGCCCCCACGGGGTCTCCCCCAGGCAGAGAGCAGCCGGGGCTCGGCACAGCACTCTGAAAGGCTCCACTTGTGTTATTTCTAGCGTATCTGCCAGACGCCTTTTGGTCCATCCACACTGGCCCAGGATTTATATCTTTGGGCCAAGAACTCTATTTAATTGATTAATTTAATGATGATATGCTGCAGAACACATGGCAGATGAAACGAGCTGAGGCTGATTGTGCTGGAGGGAGCAGGCAGCTGGGAGAGGGGCTGTTCCCGTCTCTCCTTCGGCAGGAGCCGGGGTCTCTGACCTGCTGGGTTCTCAAACAGGCGCTGCTTTAGGGACTGAAATTCCCCTTTGGGGTTAGTTTGTCAGTTCCTGTGTCTCTCCCCCCTGGTTTATGCTGGTCCCTGCTCCTGGTACAGTGGGTCTCAGCCTCCCCTTCCCTCGGGAGGAGGGAGCTCCCGCCTTGGCAGGGGTGCTGTGGGCAGCATGCCTTCACTCGGCCTCGTCCTTCCCTTTGCCTCGGCTCTGCGGGGATTTTGGGGCTGTGTAAAACCCTGCAAAGTATAAGTGCTGCTGGGTGAATCTGTCTGTAAAACCTCTGACCCCAACTTTTCCTCCCATCCTCGCCTCTTCCAGCACCAGTGGAGGAGAGAATGGAGGAGTGTGAGTACGGGGACACCGGGGTGGGCTGCAGCAGCCCCTGGGGCTGGCGGTGCCCCTGGTACAGGGTGGGACATGCTCTCCTGGTTGGACCCAGGCTTGCGGGAGAGTGGCGTGAGCAGGGCCTTGGAGAGAGCGGCAGAGGTGGCCAGTCCAGCCCTCGGTGAGGTGAGCCCGGTGCTGCGTGGCCAGTCAGAGTGCAGGGGTGCAGGCAGGGCGGGGAGGCGTCCCCGGAGAGGGCAGGGGATGAGGGACGCAGGGTGGGTGCAGAGGGGAGGAGAAGCCAGGCTGGGGAGTGACGGGCTTCTCCTGGTGTGACTGGTGGCAAACAGCCTGTCTCGGATCCAGATGTGACTCAGTTTGCCCCAGGTTCCCTGGTTTCTCTTATGTGCTGCCAGAGACAAGTCCCGACAGCTCTCCTGGCAATGGGTGTGCTTTGCATCCCCATCTGGAGAGGGAACGCGGTGAGTTCCCTGGGACCTGTGTGGCCACCATGGCAAGCAGCCTTCCTCCTCCTCCTCTTCCTTCTCCTCCTCCTCCTTGGGTGTTGGGGCAGGGTCTGCAGCCCCGTGCCCTGAGGAGAGCAAGGGGCAGGAACATGTCGGTGCTTCTGATAAGGAGGTTTCCGCTGGGGAGACACCTTTGCTCCCTCCCTTGGGTGTTGGGGCAGGGTCTGCAGCCCCGTGCCCTGCTTGAGGAGAGCAAGGGGCAGGAACATGTTGGTGCTTCTGATAAGGAGGTTTCCGCTGGGGAGACACCTTTGCTCCCTCTGCTGCAGGGGACCGTGTTGGGGGGGCTGGTCTGGGGAAGGCGACTCCCCTGTGTCTGAGGCCACGAGCACGGGTGCCAGTGGGTGGTTTGGTTTGAGTAGCGTATGGCCTGTGTGTGGTGGGGATTCCTGCTCCCCTCTACGGTGTGTGTGGGGTCCGTAGGTGCCGAGAGAGCTGGGAGGAGACCCCTGGCATTGTCTTTGCCCAGCAGCGCTCAACCTGGGGCCACCCTCATGAGCTGCGACTCCTCGTGTCCCTGGGGAGGGTGTTCTGCTTGCCCTGGCCCCTGGATCCCCAGCCCAGGCAGCTTTGCATATCTGGCTGGTGGTTCTGGGTGTGCAGGTCTCTCGGTGCAGAGCAGCTGGTGAGGAGGGGGCTGTAGGCTGTCCCCGAGGCGCCACACCAGTGTCTCCAGTCAGATCTCTGTTCTGAAAGCTGAAGTCAGCCTGCCATTCATCTGTGGAGTCTGGCTGGCTCTTGGAGTAATCGGGGTCCCCTGCTGTAGGGTGCTCAGCCCCCTACAGTGGAGGCTGGGTTTGGAGGACACACTGCAGTGAGCCCCATGAGCCCCCACAGCAGAGCAGGGCTGACAGGGGGATCGGTGTCCCCAGACAGGTCCCATTTGACCCATGGGCATCACTGGTCGCTGTTAGAAGCTGTGGTGGCGTCCTCCCCAATGCCAAGGTTTCTGGAGGCCGCTGCTGCTCCCTCAGCTAAAGGGTCAGTCTCTCACCCCGGGGACCTGCTGGTGTCCCCTGGGAGCCGAGCGTCTCCCTCCCGGGGAGGGCTCAGTGCCCAGAGAGCGAGGAAGTGATGGGAGAGGCATTCCTTCCCTCAGGGAAGGCCAGTCCTGCCCTTTGCCTGCCCCAGAGCTTTTCCCCTTCACCGGGGCAGCTTGGCCATTCCCTGGCTGGGCTCTGTCTCCAGGGTCTGGGCTGCACGTTTGGCTCATCGCTGCTGGCACCTCCCCTCTGCGGGGCCGCGGCGGGCATCGCATCTCCCTGGCTACCCCTGGCCCTTTCGAGCACAGATCTGGGCAGGGATTTCCCTTCCTAGAGAGAGGACCTCCTTGCTCAGGGTTTCAGGAGGGGCTTTTCCTATCTCCAGGGCTCCTCTGAACCCTCTGCCCCTCTCCTCTGCAGCTCGGCAGAGAGCAGAGCCAAGGGGGCTCCGCTCCGGTTGGGGTGCTCAGCTCTGCCCTTCCTTGGGGCAAAGTGATGTTATGAGTGGCCACCTTCCCCTTGGCACTGTCGGTGTGCGGTGCCCAGGGCAGGGAGAGGGGAGAAACACCCCTCCAATGGGGCTGCCCCCCCACGGGGTCAGAGAGCAGCCCTGCTGGGTCCCTCAAAAACTGGGACAACAGCGGTGATGAAGAGATGGGGGCTAAGGGAGCCGACCATCTCTCTGAAACCCCACCATTGCAAGGCTCCTGGTGCTGGGAGCCGTGGGGAGCGGGTGTTTGCCCCTTGCCCAGGTCTCTGCTGCTGTTGGGCCAGTGCCGGCGGGCTGTGGCTCCTGCCCTGCCAGCCCACCCCACCGCAAATACCAGTTTCCCCCCTGCGAGACTTTCTCCCCTTCCTTTTCTGCAAACCACTTGAACGTTTCTTGCCGGTGCTGCTTGGGGGTGGCCGGGGGCAGCCCTGGCAGCGCGGCTCTGGAGGCGGGAGGGATGAGCCCTGTCCCCGGGGGCAGCCCGGCAGCGGGGACGGGAGGCTGGGTGAGGTGTGACCCCCTTGATCCTGGCATGGCTTCCAGTCCTGCAGCAGCTCCCAGCGCTGCCGGTTGTACTGGGCTGGCTGGGCTCGAGGCGGCTGGTGTGTTCTTCCCTCGCTCAGGTCTTGCCCTCACAACGTCACGTACATCCCGTACCTCTCCAAGGGTTTCGGGGTGCAGACTCAGGGCTCCTCCTCGCCAGCCCATCCCGGCCACTCTGCAGAGAATCTGCCTGGCCAGTTTCCAGAGGAGGTGGCTTCCAAAGTTGACAGCAGGGCCGGCTGGCCTGGGAGGCAGAGCCGGCAGGGCTGGTGCCATGCGGGTTGTGAAGATGCTGCTCCTGCCCCGCAGGAGAGCTCTGGGTCCCTCATGGAGGGGGAAGGCATTGCCCAAGGTGCCCAGGAGGGCTCGGAGGGCTCCTGAGCGGCATGGAGGAACCAGGGGGATGTGTGAAAGATGTTTTGGAGAAGACAGTTTGCAGGTGCAGCCTTGGTCTGGTGTGTGGGGCCGGGGCTGAGAGGTGCTGCCAAGGGTGGAGGTGCCCAGCCCTGCGTCAGGCGAGGAGGAGGAGGAATGTGCTGGTTGGCAGAGCAGGGCTGGGCTCCCCTGAAATCGAGGGGGGTTGCCCTCCTGCTTTCCTCTCCTCTCGCCCTCCTCGCTGCGCCTGGACTAGGACCCCCTTGTCCCTGGCCATCGGAGGGCAGGTCCCGCTGCTGCCCCCCACCCTCCGCAGGGGCAGGCAGGGCCGGGGCATGGAGCCAGGGCCGGGGCATGGAGCCGTGCCCAGTGCTGGGTGCGCCCTGCCCGCCTCTCCCTCCTCCGCTGCCAGGGCAGGTCTGCCCGCTCCGCCAGCCCCGACCCGCCTTATCTCCTACCCAACACTGCCTGCAGGCAGCCCCCCGCCGGCACCCCCCCTGCCCTCACCCAGGACGGGGCTGGCTGGGGGGCAGAGCCCTGGGCCAGGGATCCCCCGGGACTGCCTGCCGGTGATGGGCCCGTGCCCCGGCCGAGTCGCAGCGGGTGGCGGTGGAGGAGGGGACGGGGCCGGCACCTGCCCCTTCACCTCTACCTGCTCGGGGGCCACGGGGGATTACGGCGCTGGCACCATATGTCACCCTGCCCGCGAGCCCCGCGCTGCGCTGCCTCCATCCTCCTGCAGCAACGGCCGTGGGGGGAAGAGAGGGACAGATGCTGCCCTAGATCTGTGGGATTAAACTCCCAGCAGCAAAGCAGATTAGGGTATTACGCTGGCGCCTCTGAGGGGGAAGCCCACTGTCCTGAGCCCGTGCCTGCCCGGGGCAGGGGGACGGCGGTGATTCCTTCACTGTGCTCCCTCCAGCCCCACGGAGGGGCTGGGGGCTGGCTGGTGCAGTGACGGGGTCCCCTGTGCCACCAGACTTGTCTCCAGGCTCCGATTCCAGGGTGTGAGGAGCAGGAGCAGCCCTGGAGGCACTGGGCCTGCTGCTGGTTTTGCATCCCCTCGCGGGGTCCCCGCTGTCCCCTGTGCTCAGGGTGAGACGTGTGGAGGGTGACACTCGGGTGCCTTGTGGCCGGATCCCTCCCGGGTGTCCCCCCTGTCCCCCGTGCCATCGGCCTGGCTCACCCCGTTGCTGCTGCCCATGGGGCTGCTGGTGCACGGGGCCAGCGGTGGTTTTGCTCCATGGTGATTTACAGGAGCACTCCCACGGCACCCCCCGGGATGGGGTTGGGTGGGCTGTGGGGGGAGCTGGGCACAGCCGAGGTCTGTGCCCTGGGTGCAGCTCCGAGGGTGCTGGGGAGAGGGAAGGGAAGAGCTGATGGTGAGAACCTCCCCGGGTGCCTGGAAACACAGCAGGGACGTGGTCTTCCTGCTGGGGCACCACCAGCACAGCAGGAATGGCCCACGGGGGGCTGTGGGGCTGGGAGGGGGCGGTTGGCGGCTGCTCATCCCTTGTTCGGTGTGGGACCCCCAGGGGAGCGACCAGTGGGACAGGGCCCAGGTGTCTCACTGCTCTTGTGCCTGCAGGTGCCCGGGGCTCAGCCTCTACGTCTCCCCAGTCATTCCCATCTACAATGCCGTCGTCTTCCTCTTTGTGCTGGCCAACTTCAGCATGGCCACCTTCATGGACCCCGGCATATTCCCACGAGGTGAGTCTGGTGGGGGCTGGCTGGTGCAGTGACAGGGTCCCCCTTGCCACCAGACTTGTCTCCAGGCTCCGATTCCGGGGTGTGAGGAAGTGCCTGGGAAGTGTCTTGAGTAGAGCTACCTCCTTCCCCTCTTCCTGTGAGGTGAAGGAGATTTACGGATCTCAAAAGGGAGAGCCCTGCGTGCCCTGTCTGGGTGGTCACACATGCTCTGGTGACAGTAGCTCTGGGTTCAGCACCCAGCCTGCAGGGCCTGGTGTCAGAAGCAGGGTGAATCCTGGCACCCCACATGGGGTACCTGGATGTCAGGCGGGTCTTGGGGTTCCGAGCAGGGCTGGGAGAGCCCCTCTGGCTCCTCTACCTGTCCTCAGTGGTCCCCGCCTGGTCCCTGTGCCAGATGGGATGGGGCTGGTGGCAGAGGAGGGCAATGCCAAGTGTCCCCAGCTTTGGGAGGGCAGGAGGGTGCCTGGGCCTGACGCTCTGCTGGGGTTTCCCCGTCAGCTGAGGAGGACGAGGACAAGGAGGACGACTTCCGAGCCCCGCTCTACAAGACGGTGGAGATCAAGGGCATCCAGGTGCGCATGAAGTGGTGCGCAACCTGCCGCTTCTACCGGCCACCACGCTGCTCCCACTGCAGCGTCTGCGACAACTGCGTGGAGGTGAGGAGCTGCCGCGTCTCGATGCCTCTCTCTTTCTGCGCAGGGTTTGATGCGTAGCGCGGGCAGGAAGCCCTGGCCGCCAAGCCCCTCACCGTGCCTTCTCCCCACCCACAGGAGTTTGACCATCACTGTCCCTGGGTCAACAACTGCATCGGGCGGCGCAACTACCGTTACTTCTTCCTCTTCTTGCTGTCCCTCACCACGCACATCATGGGGGTGTTCGGCTTCGGCCTGCTCTACGTCCTCTACCAGGTGGAGGAGCTCTCCGGCGTCCGCATGGCCGTCACGTATCCTCTGCGCGGCTGTGGGAGCGGGGACGAGGGGGGGGACACGGTGGCAGGGCTGGGGACAGCGTGCTGTGGGGCAGGGCTGTGGCTCTTCCTTAGCTGCCTGTGGATAGCATGGTGGTGATGTGCGTGGCCGGCTTGTTCTTCATTCCTGTTGCTGGCCTTACGGGGTTCCACGTGGTGCTCGTGGCGAGGGGCCGCACTACCAATGAACAGGTATGTCTGGGGGCTGGTGCAGGGCTGGTAGCCCCTCTCAGGCCACGTCTGGGTATGTTTTGGGGCTCCCTGGAACAAGACAAACATGGAGAGGCTGGACTGAGGCAAGGAGGGGCCGAAGAAGCTGGCTGGGGGCTGGAGCACAAGATGTCTGTGAGGGGGGCCTGAGAGCACCTTGTCTGCACAACCTGGGGAGGGGGGTTCTTCGCTGGGGCTGTTGGGGGTGACTGCAGGGGGATGGAGCCGGGCAGCCTTTTCCCAGGGGGACAAGAGGGGACAGGCACAGCTGGAAAGGGGGCAGCTCCCAGTGAGACATCAGGGAAAGACTTTTTCCCCTGGAGGGTGGCTGAACATTGGAACAGTGTCCTGGAGAAGGGAGAGTATCTCTGTCCCTGGAGACTGTTATGAGCTGGACAAACCTTGGGTAGCCGGACCCTGCTGGCTGGACGGGGACCCCTGGGGTCCCTGCCCGCCCCGGTACCCTGCCACGCTCCTCGTCCCGCAGGTGACGGGCAAGTTCCGTGGTGGTGTCAACCCCTTCACCAACGGTTGCTGTAAGAACGTCAGCCGGGTCCTCTGCAGCTCCCCGGCCCCCAGGTGAGCCCGGCACAGCGCGGCGGTGCCCCCCTGCCCCTGCAATGCCCCCCTCCATCCTGAGCTCTGGGCCCTGAGCTTCCCCTGCCCCTCTCCCCAGGTACCTCGGGCGCCCCAGGGCCGAGCAGACGGTGCTGGTGAGACCCCCCTTCTTGCGGCCTGAGGTATCAGACGGTCAGATCACTGTCAAGATCATGGACAACGGTATCCAGACAGAGCTGAAGAGGACGAAGGTGAGGAAGGTGGGGATTAGCGGTCCCTGCATTGGGGGCCCTCCGTGGAGCCCAGGGGTGCAGGCCTGCATCCGTGAGTAAAGAACCGAGTGAGCCTGGTCACATTCCCCAACCCCCCTCCGTGTCATCTTCCTCTGTGTCCCCATGGGGTGGAAACCACGTCCTTCGCATGCGGCAGCAGCCACATGAGGCTTTGCACCCTTGATGGCCCTTCCCCGTCCCATCCTTGCCACTTGCAGTGTCCCATGGAGGTGCCCTTTCCCCAGCACTTCCCAGCACCTGCGGCTCGTGCCGCCTTCAAGTGCCCAGGATGGCCTGGGAGGCAGCAGGAGCCCCCCGAACGCCACTGCCAGCTCCCTGCCTGCCCTGGGGAGGGCTGAGCCTTGGTGCCCCTCTGACCCCCCCTCTGCGCTTTGTCTCTGCAGTCCAAAGGAAGCCTGGAGGTGACGGAGAGCCAGTCTGCTGACGCCGAGCCGCCACCCCCACCTAAGCCAGACCTCAGCCGCTACACGGGCCTGAGGACACACTTAACCCTGGCCACCAACGAGGGTAAGGAGGGATGCAGGGTCCTGGGCAGCCCAGGGCTGCCCCAGGCAGAGCAGGAGCCAGGGCCGTAGGCGGAACAGGCTGCGGGGCAGACCCCAAGCACATCAGCACCAGCGTCTTGTGGGGCAGGACGTGCCTGTATCTCTGGGCTGGTTTACGTGGCCCCTTGCGCTTGGAGAAGCCAGTGGGATGTTCACGGTCAGCTCTGCTCCCTCGGAGAAGAGCAGGAGGCTGCGACGGGCAGGCTGCAGGCGGCCACGCTGCAGGCAGGCGCAGGAGCATCACCCGGAGGAAGGAGGCGAAGGAGTGGTGGGCCTGGCTTGGCGGCAGAGAGCACGTTGGTGGCAGCCTGTGTTACTTGCTTCCCCCCTTCCCGGGGCGCTGGCGAAGCAGCGCGGGGAGCTGCCTGCGTGGGCTTGGCGAGAGAGGTGGGATGTGAAGGGCAGAGCTTAGAAGCAGCTGCTTCCTGCAGCCGGCCAGAGGCCTCTGCAGCTCTCCCTGTCCCCTGCCAGGACCAGCCCTGCTGCCTGGAGAAGGGCTGTGGCATGTGGGGTGACTGGCTGGCAGGTCCCTGGGGTGCCCCGGCACCCACTGACACCTCCATGCAGTGCACACCCCACTGACCCCGGGCTGTCACCCAGCCGGGGCCGCTGCAGGGGCATGGAAGTGCCAGCCCCAGACACATGTCCACGGTGACATGTTTCCATCGTGCTCCGTTTCATCTGCCCCCAGTGGCCTCTCCTCCAGCCCGTTCCTCTCTCCCTCTCTGCCCCCCTGGTCTGTCTGCCCCAGGCTCGGTGCCGGTTCTCCGGGAGGGCAGGGCTCTGTGCGGTGTCCCTTCCCCTGCGCCGCCCCGGGGAGCTCACACGGCTCTGAGCGTCTTTCTCTCTGTCCCCCCACTGCAGACAGCAGCTTGCTAGGCAAGGACAGCCCCCCGACCCCCACCATGTACAAGTACCGGCCCGGCTACAGCAGCAGCAGCAGCTCAGCAGCCCTGCCCCACTCCACCAGCGCCAAGGTAAGGCCGTGCCTCCCCTTCCCAAGGCTGGGCGAGGGGGGAACCCAGCCTTCCAGGGGCTGCCGCCACGTTCCTGGCATTCTGGTGGGTGGGTGCTTCGGGAGCTTTGCAGGGTCCCCATCTTCCTGTGGGTGACGGCGGTGTCTCTGTCCCCCAGCTGAGCCGAGTGAACAGCCTGAAGGAGCCCAACTCCATCTGCGAGAGCAGCCGCAAGCCCAGCTACCGCTCGGAGCCCAGCCTGGAGCCCGAGAGCTTCCGCTCGCCCACCTTCGGCAAGAGCTTTCACTTCGACCCGCTCTCCAGCGGCTCCCGCTCCTCCAGCCTCAAGTCGGCCCAGGGCACGGGCTTTGAGATGGGCCACCTGCAGTCCATCCGCTCGGAGGGCACCACCTCCACCTCCTACAAGAGCCTGGTGAACCAGACGCGCAACGGCAGCCTGTCGTACGACAGCCTGCTGACCCCCTCCGACAGCCCCGACTTCGAGTCGGTGCAGGCGGGCCCGGAGCCCGACACCCCGGTGGGCTACACCTCGCCCTTCCTCTCGGCCCGCATCGCCCAGCAGAGAGAGACCGACCTGCATGGCCGCTTCGTCGCCGCCATCTCCCCCAAGCACGCGCCGCCCCGCGAGCCCTCGCCCGTGCGCTACGACAATCTCTCCCGACACATTGTGGCCTCCATCCAGGAGCGGGAGAAGCTGCTGCAGCAGCCGCCGCTGGCCCCGGGCCGGGAGGAGGACGGGGGGATGGCGGACTCGGGCATCCAGTCGACGCCGGGCTCCAGCAACGCCCCCCGCACCAGCTCCTCCTCGGACGATTCGAAGCGCTCGCCCCTGGGCAAGAACCCGCTCACCCGCCCGGCCCCCCCACGCTTCGGCAAGCCCGAGCCCCCTCCCACGCTGCGGGTGCGCTCCCTGGGCTCCCCCGACCAGTCCGCAGCCCCCCACCTGGGCAAATCCCTCTCCTACAGCAGCCAAAAACCAGCCCCTCAGCCTGGCGGCCCTGAGACTGAGGAGGTGGCCTTGCAGCCATTACTGGCACCAAAGTAAGTACCGGCGATGGCCACCCTGGGCACGGGGCCACAGCCCTACGGAAGGGGGGCCGCAGGGCAATCCCCAGCCCCACAGAGTGGGGGCACCTCCCTGGGACGCCCCGCAGGGATCCTGCCACCCCTTCTCCATGGCACCAGCCCCCACCGGCAGCAAAACATGTAGCCTGGAGGAGGGCGAGGGAAATCCTCCCCCCAGAAGAGAGCTGGTGC